CTATTTCATCCCTATAGGCCGTCTCTGAGAACCGTCTTGCCACTTCTCATCCAATTTTGTCCCCCCAAAGGCCATCTGGCCAGGTATGAGGCATTCTAGGGTTGTCACAATGATAATGGGGATGCTACTGGCACCTAGTGGGTAGGGGACAGGCATGCTGCTAAACACCCCATGAAGCACAGGGCAGCTTCCCCTCCCCCAGTGAATGATCTGACCCCAGATGCCAAGAGTGCCCAGGCTGAGAAGCCCTGCCCTGGTGGCTCCCTCCTCTCTGCACTTGCAGCGGCCACAGCAGGGCACAGATATACTCACTCTCATTGCACGCCTGTCTGGCCCGCTCCTACAGCGCAAGTTCCCTGAGGAAAGAGCCTGATTTAGCTGACTGGGATGAAAGGGACTCAAATATTTGCCGAATAAATGAACAAGCAAGTGGGGTGCCCCCCTATTGTAAATTATCCAAGACACCTGGGGCTGATGGGTGGGCATGGGGTGTCTAGAAGCCAATGTCTCCATGTGGAGAGCTGGCAGGGAAACATTTCTTCCTATCTGCAAGTTTTATAGCTGGGACTACCACTGGTGTTTTTGGCAATTTTTATAGACAGAGAATAACAACTTTGAATTATTTACCATGTGGCCAGCACAGCGCTTACAAGGACCCCATGAGAGGGAATTATTAACACCCAATTCAAGGATGAGGACGGAACAAGAAGCACTGAGGGGTGACAGTTACTCACCTAAGGTCACAAAGCCTTCTGAGGGAGACCAGTCTGCTGGTTTCTTCGAGAGAAGGTATGAGTCATTCGTAGAGCAACACCGCACACTCACGTAGCCAGGCACGTGCCGCCACTGTGGGCTACGCTTTGAGTCACGCTCATTTCTCAGCTAGGCATATGAGTTTAAAATAAAGAGGAGAAATGCTAAAGATTTGAAATTTTCGGGAAATTTGAAACCTCAGGGGAAAGTTCATTTTGATTTTTGTCTGCAATACCTAAGTGCAAATTGCATCTACAGTAATCAAATGAGAGCTTGGAAACAAGCACCAGGGGCTGATGAAAGGAATGCATTTGTCAGGGCAGCAGCTGAATGTGAAGCTAAGCATTCTTAGGGAGAAACATGTCAACAGTAAATCTTTTCACCAACCTTTGATGGATGTGCTAATCTTCTCAGGTCAACATGGGCTTGCCCTGGCAACACACTGTAATAACTTATTTAAAAGGCAGCTGGCTTTTATAAATGGACTGCTCCATCAATTTTTAGATTTTCATTCTCAGAAATGTATTCCCTTATCAGAACAGTATCTGCTATATATAGTAAGAGCTCCATTGTGCATTTTCTGCAACTGAGGTGGTACAGCCAGGTTTGGGGATTGCTGTTCTTTGCTCTCAGTATGACATTCAAGCTCTGCAGTGATAACGAAAGAAAAATAATAACGCCAGACAGGTGACTTTCATCCATTACAGCAGTGATGGGCAAACCACCACCTGTAGACCCCCACAGCCTATTTTGACACATAAAGTAATATTGGCACACAGCCACACCCACTTGTCTCCTGTCCATGGCTGTTTCCACCTACAAGGGCAGAGCTGAATAATCATGACACATACCTCATGGTCTGCAAAGCCAAAATAATTTACACTCTGGCCCTTTAGAGAGTACACAGGTTGACCCTTGCATTAGTAAGAAGTGGTATTTGTCTGACTGTGTGCTTGTAGCCTTTTCAGTGGGGGCTAAACGAACTGGGCTGGAGAAGACATGTGTAGTTCAGGTGGGATAAAGCCAGGAGAAAATAGGGACTGGCAGGTGGCATGATGGTTAAAGGCACTGGACTACACATGGCCAAGCGGTTTGAGTCCTGAATGTGGTGGATCGCTTTCTCACTTACTTTCTCTCTCTCTCTCTCTGTGTTTCTCTCTGGTCAAATTAAAACAAACAAAGTTAAAAAAATAATTCTTTAGAAAAAAAAGACAGAGGCAAATATGAAAAGGCAAAACACAGGCTGTATATCTAGGCAAGGACTTTAATGAATCAAACACTACTACTGGCAACATAAAAAAAAGTGTGATATATACAAAATCATCATTTGGTGCCAAGAGAAACTCTCACGATGGCAACAGTATACATCCTCTGTCTTCCAAGTGGCTGGCATACGATATCCACCCGCACTGAGACTCTGGTGAACATGCTTCTCTTTCAGTAGAAAGACCCCTTTCCCTAAGTAAAGTACAGAAGGAGAGAAGAATGTGTATCCAAAAGGAAGGGGGTGAGATTGGGGACGGACCCCTTTCAGAAACATGTCGGGGCCCTTGTGCCAGAGATCAGAACTTCAGGGGAATGACGGGCCAGTACTTGGGCTGCTTTCTGTCACAGTGCTTGTCAAAGCTCAGCTGCACCGCAGCCTCCATGGCCAGGATCTTGGCGGCGCTGTCCCCGTACAAACGCTGCATCTCGGCCTTGCGCCGCTCGCCGGGCCTCTCGGCTGGGGGCTCGACTGACCGGCGGGGGTTGTAGTACAGGTCGTGGTCGGCGTTCACGTAGTCGTCCAGGCGCATTGCCTCCAGCTGCTGCTGCCGCTCTGGAGACAGACATGAATGTGAACATGAACATGTATGCACGTCCGTGCACACACACGAGGACAGCAGGGTGGTGGATGCTGCTGCTGCCAGCTGTGTGGCCTGCAGCCCCAAGGCCCCTCAGCTTTCCCTTTCCAGCTGTGAAATCAGGCCCAGATGTGGCAGTGGTGATGCTCGCTAGATTCTGAGGCAGGACCAGCAGATCACTTATTAACCACTTATTTATGAAGCGCATTGTTCACTTATCTGGGGATTATTATACACGGACACAAATGGCAGGAAGCCACAGGGAAACCCAGCACTTCAAACTACCAAACCTCTGCAACACGCTGTGAAAGTAGGAGGCAAATGACAGCACCTGGGTCTCCCTTTTTCCGTCTGCACGGCCCTTCCTCAACTACCTAGCTAGAAGGTGGATGCAGGTGCTTGGTTTCAAACACTGAACCAGGCCAGCATGAAGCTTTCTGACTACTCCAGTCTGCAAGAAGCAAAATGAGGTGGTGGGGAAAAGACCCCTCTGGAAGAGGTACTGATTTTAGGTACCCGGAAAAGAGTAAGTGCTGGTAACTTCAGAATGCAACAATTGGGGCCAACAGGTGGTGGTGGTGGTTTGAGTTGGATCCCCACATGGCTTATGTGGTTCAAGTCCCAGACATGGTGGCTTGCTTTCTCACTGTCTGTCTCTGCCTCCCCCTCCCTTTCTCTTTCTGTTTCTCTCTGGTGAGTACACATGCCCTATAGCAAATTTAAAAATAATGAATAAAATAAAATAAAATTCTTAAAAAAAAAAAAAAGAATGCAACGATCAACGATTTCTTCCAGATTCAAAATGAATCATATCTAAGCAATGAAAGGGTAAATGATTCAACTTGTTGACAGTAGAAGGGCAACTCTGCAAATGGAATTCAGACCTCTGCCTTCTAACCTACTTGCTATATTAACAAATTTGCAACAGTGGGTTGATTTTCCCACTATGGGACTTGACTTACCACACTTCACAGCTTAGCCTAGGTTACACTGCAAATGCTATAGTTACATACTTTTAATCCTACTAGTTTAAATGGATTCTTGTAAAGCAGGAATATTTATTCAGGGGCTGGATGATGGTACAGTGGTAAAAACATAAAGGTCCGTGAGGCAATCCTACCCAGGAAGGTTCCTGGTGCAAGTCCAGAGACCTCTCTGATGAAACAGTACATATGTGTGCCCTTCCTCCAGGGCTGGCTGAAGCTCAGGGTGGACTGTGGTGTCAAGACCCAGCTGGGAGTACTATCTTTCTGTCTCTGCCTCCTTCACTCATGGGAGAAATAAATAAATTTTAAAAAGAAATATTTATTCAATGTATTCTTCCCTCTGTATATTTCTCTGTAACAAGTCCCAATATCATACTTTTTGTTCTTGTATAAATAGCATCAACATAAAAGCATTAACAAAACAATGCTTGGCAAGGTAAAATTTAGCCAACTTCTATAGATTCTGTAAGCAAGTCTTATAAGAAAAAAGTCGAGGACCAGCAGATGGTATAATGGTTATATCTCTGGACTCCCACATGGCTGACTGCAGTTTGAGTCCTGGACCAGAAAGCTTAAAACTTACATTGGGCATGTGTGCGTGTGCATGTGTGCCCAAAATTCTGAGAGGAGAAGGGATTATGATATAGCCATCCCCCGCACCGGGGCGTGATTTCTCTATTCCTGTCTCTCTGTCTTTCTCTGTCTGTCCAATGAGTACATATGCCCTATAACAAAAATCTCTCTTTTAAAA